TTAATTCTAATTATCTCGTTATAGGAAAAAACTTAATTTCTAGTGCAACTAATCAGACATTTTCCCACCACAAAAAGGTAGAGTGGGAGAAATGCTTGTGACGTTAAGTGTGAAATTGTACAATTAATTGTTATTTGTACAAAAATAATTAAATATACATATACGTACATACAGGTATTCTATACACAAGATAAGTAGTTAAGTTCTGTTGTCCACTGAAACAATGATCTTCAAAATTCATAAAATTGTATTTATGACCTCAGCTAATTAAGCTGTTTCCCTTTTATTTATTTAATATTCGGTAGCACTTATTAATATTAAAAATGTATTTAAATGGTTTTTTATAACGAGGTAGAAATCTAATTATCATCCGACTGAATTGAACTCAAAAATTCAATCTTGTCTCATCACATTTTATTACATCCCATATTCCTTTTGTAATCCAAAATTTTGATTAATCACACTTCTAAGCTGATCCTGACGTTTCACCTAACCTAATTGAAGATAGCTAGATTGAATGGACTCATTTTCTCGGGCACAAAGCCTGTGAAACGAACCAGTAAATAGTGATTAGTTTATAGCTAAGGTTTATTAAGGGTCAATCATCTTAAATTATTAACGACTCATGTCCTCGTCAACGTTATTGTTACTGAAATATTGTTTGGAAAATTTACTTTAGAAATAAAATAATAATTCAAGATAGTGTAATTTTTATCCCAGAAAGCATACTTTAAGGGCTGAAAAAGGGGACGGTGTAAGTTTGTATGGGGAATTAAGAACCGCTGAACCGATTTAGATGAAATTTGGTATGGAGATACTTTCATCCTTGAGGAAAGACATATGTTACTTTTTACTGCGGTAAACGACATTTACGCGGGCGGAGCCGCGAGGGAAAGCTAGTAGCATATACGGATTGATTCGGGAGAGTACCTAAGAAATGCTTGTAACTTGAACTGGCCATTGTCACGAAGTCCGCAACTTCTTGGGCCTGCATTTGTGTTATTATCATAACACAGTTTACCATTGGGAAGTTATTCTTCTTTCAAATATTTGCCATAAAGAATTTTCATCCGCTCATATTCAAATTACGACTGGACTTCCCTGCTCAATTTTGACAACTTATATATCTTTTCTTATCTGAAAGACACCTCAGCAGTAGGAATATATTCTGTGTCGAGAGGGACTTTACAGACATTCATGAAATACATACAAGAACACCTAGAATAACAATTTGTGGATCGCAGAAGTGTTGTCCCATATGGGGATCAAACCCACAACACTCAGTGCAGTCGGAAGAAACCACTACAGTCTGACTGCAGTTTAAGGTTCTTTTCTTCTAATTAGATGCCATAAGCGGTACGCGATATAAAGGCTTTTAGTCGCGCCTCATCTGTAATGGGCAAAGTGAATAAGTGTTTGATAATTATACGCCATTTTCGTTACCCCGCTTTTTACTCGATTAGACAAAGGAAGGGTTGGCATTCGATTTTTCGTCTGTGAGCTTTTAAGCAATGATGAGGGTTTCCTTCGAATGTTTAAGACCCCTTTCCGGAATAAATGTAAGTCGATTTAATTTTAGCCAAAAACATTAATGAAAATTTTGTCGAGCCATTTTCATTTCGTGATATTATTGATAATAATCTGCTTTCTTTGAAGAGTTTTTATGTAAAATTAAAATTTACTTAAATTAAAATGTGTGGAATTTGTGTTTTTTTCCACTGGAAACGGCGTATTAAAAAATTGAAAAGTAAGACTCCTCCCAGCCATATGGACTAATAACCTGAAGAAGTTGGGTTTGACGGACTGGATGCGAAAGACAAAGGACATTGTACTATGGCGCATATAAGGAAAGTCACTAAAAGATGTTGCAAAAGCGGGTAAAATTTATTGCTTATAAAAGCCGTAGACGAAGTTGTGCAGGTCTCATCATCATCATCATCAACAGTCTATAATAGTCCACTGCTCGATATAGGCTTCTCCTTAAAAAGCCAGGTCTAGCTACGTATAAAACTACTATAAAAGAAGAAAGTGACAGACTGATTTAGTGACTGATGGATAAACGCACAGCTGAAACCGCTGGGCATGAATAATTAAATTTTGCACAAATGTTCTTTATAGTTAAACCGCCGTAAGCTTGGCCCTCCTGATGGTTTGCGGGACGCAGGGCGGGTGATGCGCTCGGCTATACATGACACGATGTACTAACTCGATATCTTCAGATTTATTTGTTTGAGATTTAATCTACACACGATGTAATAAAAATCGAATTTATTTCCATGTATTATATTGTCAGTGTATTGTAAGTTTTTATGATTAATTGTAAAATTTAATACTGTAAAATAATTTTAATAAAATCACCTTATCTTCGTCATGTAAATTATATTCAGATACAATTTAAAAATTAAGTAAAATAATAAATATTCTTTATTAGAACTTTAACAGTAGAACCTCTGTAAGCCGAACTTCAAGTTTTTAAATCTTTTTGTGACGCAGAGTCGGCAGATTATCCATGTTGAAAAATAATACCGTGTGTAGCAGTCTTAAGAAAAATAACACGTACAACCATGCTTTCACGTCAGTCACTGCCGGCGGACAGCGACGCACTAGCTAATTGGTTGAATGCACCCCCGCCCCGCGTCCCCCAAACCATCAGAAGGGCCAAGCTTACGGCGGTTTAACTATAGGTGACGTAGGTGTGCACTTAGGGTTTTTAAAAATGCCACCCATAAGGGTATGGAAATTTATATGAAACTTTGTCATTTTGGTAGTAGAGTTTTCAAACCCACAGTAAATACTCTTTATTAAAAGTATTAAATAACGTACGTAACGTATAAATCGTAACGTATAAATCGTAAAGGTAAGATTAAGACATACAAATAGATAAACACATTAAAGTACCTTCATCGTACGTCTTAGAAAACACATTAGCTATAGAAAGGGCCCACGTCAAGTTACTAGTCAAGTTTGCTTATAGCAGAAGGTGAGTCTTCTAAAATAATCCCACTCCATTTGACATTTATTTAGTAATGGCTGCCACCTTTTTCCTCAAGCCTCTATATCATTTATAATAGCAATTCGGGTCGGGGGTTGTTCCATTTTTTTTCTTTCATTTGCTTAGTTTATACAGAAGGATCATTTTTTTATTTATGTTGGGAAAGTTGATAGGGTTTTTTTATCTATATCTTTTGTATATTATTTTGAGAGAGGAGGGTTAGTTGATATATAATGTTAAGATATTTTTTGAAGTTTCATTCCTTTGTCTAATGTTTTTTTAACGTACTGTAGAACCCTTGTAGTTCTGCTATGTTCCTCTGTATGGCCGTTCGTTCGTTCATTACATAAAAACTGTTAGAACTATAAAATTATAATTTAACATGGTTAAAAAAAAACTCTTGAAATAACATTTTGTTTTCGGGGTAGGAGAATTCTCCAAAACGTATTCCCGCTTAAGTCAAACAGTTGTGTGCATGAACATTTAATGTTAGATTCAGTTTTGGTGTTTCTATGTATAATATGTATGTATTTACAAAAAAAAGTATCATATATTATTATTATTATTTATATCAGTTGTCTTGTACCCATAGTACAAGCTCTGCTTAGTTTAGTACTAGATGGCGTTGTGTGAATGTGGTTGTATATTATTATTACTACATGGGGTTGACGACAGGTTATTGAAATCATTGAGGGAGTGTAAAAAAAAACTCTATTCAGTTTTTTCAAAGCAAGGTCAAAGTCACCTGATGGCAAGTGACTACCGCCGCCCGTGGACACCTGCAATTTAAGAGTCATAAGAACACTATCGCCTTTTGAGCACAAGAATTGGGTGGAGGGTAACTTACTCACTGGCTGAAAAGATATCTAAGATATATATATGTGATTGTAACAACACGAGGTCATCAAGGTCAAGGTTACTTCATCCATGAAATACCACAAAAATAATATTACACCAAATTTCAAATCAATCGTAGTTTGTGAGATCCCTTCATCAACTAAGAAATGAGCTGAAGATCTTCACAAATTTTAGCTAAGAATCATTTCGATCATGTCAGTTTTCAAACAAATAAAAACCATCAGAATCGGTCCATTAGTTTAGGAGCTGCGACGCCACAGGCAAACACACATACATGTCATACTCATAACACGCCTCTAAACGCCCTCTACGCCTGCGTCGATGGTTAAAAAACCTGGAGTAAAATATTATCTTTATCTTATACTGAGTACAAAAAAAAAAAATCTATCCATATCAGTATCTATCTATCTAAACTAGACTCCGCCGTGACTTTTCGTAATATTCCTTGTCATGATTACCTTCAAAGAACTTTTCTTTAATAGGAAATATCAAAAAACGTGATAGGAATCCGAATTAACTACATATTCCGAGCTAATGGAATGGAGCAACCTTGAAGATTTTCTTTCGTTATATAAGTTACTGTGGGCTCGTGGCTGAGTTGTAACCGAGGAGGCTAGCATATTGCAAAGTTAACTAATCGTAGCGAGGTCAATCTATGGATGGGTGACCATTCTTAAGATATTGAGTACCCTGTGTACCTGTGTACGTCGGTCCCGGTTGCCATACCAACATGTGTGGCAGTCGTTACGGGTAGTTAGGGACCTAAAAGTCCGACACCGGTCAATCTACAGAATTTCGATGTCGTCTAGAACTTATAATAATATTTGACGCACAACGCCATCTAGTTTCTAACTAAGCAGAGGTTGTAATGTGAAAGCTAGATTGACTGATAGAGTACTTCGATACCTTATTTTTGTAAATACATACATACTCGTATTATACGTAGGAAACACCCAAACTCCAAAAGGAATATTTGGATATCTCGAGACCTCAGCACTGCCTTCGCATACGCTACCATTTGGCCACCGAGGCAGTCTTAAGTGGTGGTATAAAAGTTTAGCCGCATAGTAGCTCAAAACCGACCCAACCTAGTTTGGGCAAAGGCTCGGAGGATAACAACACTCATAATAACACGTGCTCATAGTCTTAGATGTACCAGGCACCGGGTAACTTAGGAAACTGGCACGTGTCTTTGCTCACATAATACCTTGCCAGTATATACTTAGTGTTTTATTTGTTCTTGAAAATTGTGCAGAAAGGTACTACAATTCTGACGAGAACATACATATCTGTTCAGACTCGCATTTTGAAAGAGAAAATTAATGTCTTGAAGGATTTTTTATCAGATTGCTACAGATAAAAAAACTTGTTAGTTTTACTGAGTAAGATACTGATACGTTGGTTAATAGGATTAGTTAATTAAGTTTTAGTTATAAATTTGCAATTTGCGGCATCATGCAAGTCAAAATTGTTTGTCGAGGAAATTATTTCGGTGGTTGTTTATGTATTTAGAAATAGCAATTATTTTTTGTCTAGGAATGGTGTCTTTGAAATAAAAAAAACTGTTATGAGCCGTTACACTTATTATTTCACTGTGCGCCGCCAGTAGGGTATGAGCATTTTGGACATGTGGGTAATACCTAATCCTAATAGGTAATACAGTATGTAATTAAAAAAATCTATCCAAGTACCCGTGTTCTAGAACATATTTTACAAGTGATACTTAACTAGAGCCCAACAACAGTATGAATATATTATAACATAATAATATAGTTGTATTAATACCAATGATATACACTTCTAGATAAACATACAATATCAATGTATTTGTGTTGTTCCCAGGCCGGTGCGGTGAGGGCAGTCCGTGCGAACAGCTGTGTCGAGAACTACACGACGGCACTTACGAGTGCGGGTGCGGGCCAGGTTATGTGCTGCAGGTCGATGGATATGGCTGTTTAGGTAAGTCTAAATCAGTGAGCATGTATTCTTACTTGTATGTATGAAAGTAATGACTAAATGGTGTTTAAATACTAGAATTCGTATGACCTAAAAAAAGTGTTACTGCAGAAGTGAAACTTCAGAAAAAAATATTTTCAAAATAAAAACATAAAAATATTCACACTGTCAACATATTATATAAATATTTATTAAATAAATTATTATTAAAAAAAAAATTACACACAAATATTATTCTGCGTAAAATCAATACAAATAAGTTACTAGTGTTCGTAAATTTAATTGTAGAAAATTTATATAAATAAAAATTATTGGTCAAATTAACACAGATATGTTAAATAATTTAGTTTGTGTCGAATTAACAAAAATGGAATTAACCAACAAATTTTAATACGCAAATGCGCAAGACACAGTTGTGACACATTTTCTGAAGGCTTCGTTGTACGCAGGCGCAAAGACACGTAACAGCATAGAGGAGACGAAGATTACTGAAAAACCTGCATGCTTGTAATCTGTCTCATTCTCTGGCAGGCTAAATCCTATTTATGAATATGTTTGTTTTTTTTTACCGTCGCTTTTTCGTTTCATCGAATTTTTAAAACACAACGGTGCTGAAAAAGTTTCACTTCAAAAATAAATATGTTACAATAAATATTATATTTATTTCAAATGAAGCGAAGAAAGGGCTTACAGTTTTCAAGGGTAGGTGCCACGGAACTCAAAAAAGCCCCGCGCTAGAGACCATGTGGCCATGGTCCAACGTGAAAGTGCGTGGGATGCCGCAGTTTCGTTTAGTGATCATGTCCGCTAAAGAGGGAACGGGAGGGAGCCAGTACTCTATCGTCCAAAAAGAAGTTTCAGAACGATCCCTGGCCTCTATAAGCGCTATCCTGGGGTTAACAGTGAAACTGGCTGTGACCCCAAGATGATGACGGACCGTGGTCCAATTGTTACTGTCAGAACGTTGTAAATATACTAATCGGCGTGAAAACTTATATTGCGCGATACAGAATTAATAGTTACTCAGTAGTTCAGTGTATCTTCGTTAGATGGTACTGTAGTATGTTTTTGTTTTTTCTATGTAAAAGTCGACACATTCCCAATACTCATTAAGTCACTTCGAGAAGAGCTTTACTTATCACCTTAAACAATTCACTTTCCGTCATAACCATTACAAATCCAGTAAGATAAACGAGATTGGCTCCTTCAAAGACTCACAAAGTACTTTTATACACATAGCAGCAATATCATAAAGGCGTAGAATCCCATTCGACAGATAAATCGATTTTGTCCCACTTGTTCTCTCGCCTCTTGAACAAGTGATGAAATTGATGCATTTTGTGGAACGACTTCGAATTCACTGGAACTGAGGAACGCTTAGACTTTATCTTGAAATATGTGTTCTGAACAATAAATGTGAATTTATGCATGAATAGAGAACTATCAGGTTGATGGCTGGTGTAGGTTATCGTGACAGAGCTTTCAATATCCATCCATTCAACATCTCGTTCTCTCGTTTTTTGTTATTTGTATTTTATGCATGGCAAGTTAAAAAACATAGGAATGCGTTTTGTTGACAACACTAGAACGTTTAGTTGTTGCGGTTGTAACAGTTTTTTGAGAAGAATTTTAGCAAATTTCTAAAATATGATTATTACATGAAAAAAGTAAGAATGATTCATTTTATAAACGATACAAATCTCATAACCATCCATCATTTTATTACTAGGTGTACAGGATCTTCTGTTTTTCCTTTATAACTAACTTACTAAAACAACCTGAATTTGAAAGCCACCACAAAATGCGTTTTGTCATGAATATGTACAGAAAAACAGGCCATTAAGCATTACAGGGGCATAACAGGGCATTTTATGTGGGTCGTATTCTCTTTCACGCAATAAAAATACAAAAAATTAAATTGCTTATAACTTTAAACGTGGATGGATAATCTTATGCTACACCGAACGCGTGCGGTGTACGTGCTCTCCTAAACGGGCGTAGCGGTTAGCAAACGAAGCCGGCCGGTACTATCGCAGACGTTGCGGGCAGGAGGGGGACGCTGCTCTCCTTCATGCCGCGCCCCAGCGTTGCTCCTCTAAGCAGCTGAGTTGGCTCACTATATGTAGTAGTTAGTACCTATATATCACACATAATGCTATGGTACAGCCTACATAAATGTAAACAAACAAAAATATTTTTTGAACCCAAAGTTTTGAAAATCTGAAAATTAAAATTGTAATTGTCGATGATCAAAAGTCACTTACACGCCTGCCATTGTCCTTTAGAACTTTAGAGGACGGTTAACGTCAAAAAGTATTTACCATGATAGACAGACAGAGACAGGATGATATAATTTATGATTGTAAAATTCGAGGTTCTTTTAATTCCTATGTATTTTATATCTTATCTAATTGCTTTGTAATACATCATATTTTATAATAAGTTTTGCAGGTTAATTTTAGGCGAACAAAATTATTACTATCATCATGGTTAATTTTAAAGTATTTATAATCTGCCGAAGTATGATTGAAGAAGCACCTCCTTCTTTCTTTTTCGCAACCATAACTTTTAGTTTGACATCTACTTTGATATTCAACTTAACTATAAATGGGGGTCCAACTTTGTAATCTTCAAATAGATTTAGAGTCCTAAAGTCTCTCTCGTGACAGTTCTATCGAAAAGTTCTTGAGTTAGGCTTATAGTTAAATTTGAATATAGGACATTTTGACGATACTATACATACTATAGCATAAATGATTTAGGAAAGGATTTCTTCGAAATCAAGATAGATCTTAAGGAGACAACAAACAAAACTAGCTAAAACCCTTTCCAATGTTAAGATTACGAAAATTATTTTATCTCTCAGGAGTTAAAAGTTGGGGGAACGGATTTGTTGCATAAATGCTTATTTCAATTTTCTTTCCACAGAACTAAACTCAACGAAATCAACCGACACAGAAGAGGAAGAAGAGGACGTCCTCTATCAAAAGGATGTTTCGTTTTCAGCTGAACTAGAAATAGCACCGTCCAATAGAATTAATAAACCTAATCTAAGCGTAAAACATATCGACGAAGCAAAAAGACTTACAACAGCACTGCCAATAGTATCTAAAACACCCAACTATACGTATACTGGAGAGAAGTATAAAAGAGTCGACGGATTAAGGAGTTTAATAGAAGATGGAGTCAGTAAAATGGATCTGAATATCATAGAAGATGAGATAAAAGATGGTTATGTAGAAAGTGGAAGTGAAAAAGTTACCACGCTGGGGCCTAGCTTAGAACAAAAAGTAAGTTTGAATTTCTCAAAGCATTTAACAGTGTAGTACAAAGAATAAACAATAGTCTTTTAGTAAGAATAAATGAAATTACTCTTTTTTATATCTTTTCTGTTTTCTGAAACATATCTTCATTGTGTATAAGTCAAATCTAAAAAAAAAGTATGTATTATAAATTTCGCGATCATCTGATCATTGATAATTATAATTGTTGTATTAACAGCCTTTAACAGTCCACTGCTGGACATAAGCCTCTCCTTAGAAAGGAGGTTTGGGCCTGGTATACCACGTTGGCCAGACGGGTTGGTATAGGGTTTGTTTCAAGTTTTCCTTCTCTCTGCAGTGCTGTTGTTCTGCGTAGTTTTTTCCATTAGTCAGCTCTTACAACACCCACGGGATAAATAGGAGTGGTGACACTCTGTATTCTTAATCCGTCACCACACGAAATTGTTGTATATACATTGACAAGGATATAATTTTGTTTTACATATCATATTACTAAATTTTTTCTTATATCTCAGGTGCCAGGTGCAACAGCATCACCACCGTGGACAGCCGCTGTAGAAGCATGCGACTGTGAAACTTGCAGCGAAGATCGATGTACCTGTGCGGGAAATACTTGTAAACCAGGTACGTATGGTACATAAGCATATACATTTTGATGGATAGTTGGATTAAACCGTAGTGTGATTTAAACGGTATTTAATCTTTTGTCAATACTTTGTCATAAAATAAATTTGTGTGACACACAAATTTTTGACCAACACCAGAAGGCTAGGTCTACGTGTAAACCCCATATTGTTTAATTTATTTATCAAATAAAATACAAAAAAAGTATAATTTGTAAAATAGGATTCTTAAACCAATAAGGTTTAAGAATTATTACCTACGTTTTAAAATATTAAACTACCTGTGTCTGTTTTGCCAATCAGCTTTCATATATATATGTAAATATATCTCATAGCTCTCAGCTCAAATCAGCATCAAATCAGCTTGGTCAGCTCCGGAATCGATTGTGCTATATACATTATACATACAATATATTCAAACAGATATATGTTAAGTAATTTGCAAATGGAGATGACTCATCACAAACCAGCATCCAAATACACGTAAATTTGGATCCTTTATATCGCAACCAACATAAACCGGCAACTGTCAGTTCCAAGGTGAAGTGAAATTGATTTAACATGGAGCTGTGTGCGCCCCGGAAGTACCGGGCTGCTATTACTAACGGACCGCTTCCGGCGCAACTTCCCCTAACTTATCCCTGACAGTTGTTATTGAGTTCGCCCTCTCGCCCCTCATGCGATTATGTAGAATTCACATTAAAATTTAGCAAGTTCATGTATATTAGTATCTATTGATCATATTAGTAGAACTGCGTACTACGCATACATTATTACAAAAGAGGAAGGTCGAAAACTAAAATCTGAATTAACCAGATCACTGAAATATGAAACAAGAAAACATTTTTTTGTGCAAACTTATTTCTGTACAAAAATGAAAATAATGTAAAATGGCGGACTTTATTTTTGAATATTAGATTTTTTTTGCTTTAATGTCGTGCAGAAATAAGTGGAGATGCACTAGATTAGGTAGAAAAAAAAGAATAGTACGTAAGAATCAGGGAAACATAAATGCAAACATATATAAATGGGAAGTGCTGTGAAGCCACGGTGAAGGTAAAATTTTCAAGTCAAAAGAATAGTACTACCACTACATTCTTAAGCATGACAAGATGATGTTCAGGGATTGGAATGTTTATCCTAGAGTTAACGTTATTACTTCTTGATTAATTGAAATGATAATCTTTTTGCTCATACCTGGTGCAACTGGAATAAATTGTAAAAATATTGGGGTGAGGTGGTGGGTCCGGTTGGATAATTATAATTAAATAAATATCTTCTACATATTATATAATATGGTAGAATGTGGTTAATACTTACATTATTTAAAATGAAGTGAACAAAATTAGCCATATATTAACCGTGTAGCTGTGGTCGTATGCCAACTATCGGTTTATAGTTAGTTCGGGTAACCAAATTGAATGGTAACTCGCGTATGTACGATATAAAAATGTCTTAGGGCTACAAAACTTTCCTTAGTAAAAATCATAAGTGTACAAAAGTCTCCCTTCACCGGAGAGGTGAGCGACCCCGATTTTCGATTACCATTCCTTCCCCAACTCAATCGACATCTCACGAAGAATGCAAGGCACTTGAATTATATTAAGTTATATCGAGGGTGCTTGATCTACGGGACGAACACGCCAGGTATTGAGATAGGAGAATATTGCTAGAGAAAAATAATTCTGTTATCCTGGCGCCATAATATGGCCTTATCGCGATTGATTTTCGACGCCACACACCCCTGCAGTTTGTGCGTCGTTTTAATAGAAAAGAATACTTCGGAATTTTAGGCAGCTTAAAAAACCAGCCAAATGCCAGTCGTTTTCAAGTTAAGATGTAGATTTGTAACTACAATATGGAGACCGACCTCGTTATCTAAAGTCCATAGTTTGCAATTTTACAATTTTTTTAATTTTGGGCCATATGAATTGATATATACAGGGTGTAAGGGACAACGTAACGAATACTGAAATAGTGTATTCGAACCATCATTCTGAAACTAAAATCATTTGAATTTTCTGCTGGAAAATAAACTTTTCATGCAATCAGCTGTCAAAGGTAAAGGTCATTTACCGTAGATATCGTACAAAAGTAATTACTACATATGTATTCCGTGCTAGAATTCAAGCTGATAACTGATGTTAATATATTAGCTACCGATACTAATCTTGGGATTCATAGACAAAAGAAAAAATGATTAAAATAAAAGAAAAGAAGTACATGTACAAAAGTTGAATTTAAAAGGTGTATATTGAACATAATATTACAATCAATATAACACAAACTATAATCTCTCGTGAGAAAGTGAATAAAAATCCTAAGGAGTCTATATCGAAGTACGTACCGCAATGTTAATCTCAAGTCTGAAGCACCACTGTCGAAATGGATTTTCACGTGGCTTTTGCCTTAAACTCAATCCTCAGAAATGGATCGTTTCCTTAAACTCTTTATGAACTAAATACATATTACAAAACATTAGTAGTTGCATAATGTCCGTCAGTTGTTTTAGTCTTATTATAGACGCAGTCGAATCGAGTTTGCGTTATTATTTGTGGAACTGATCATTTATTGAACATTTCCAAATGTAAATTTGAAAAGATTCGAAATAAAAATGTAACTATCGTGTTCACTATCATCTGTAAACAGATAAAACGTATTTATGCATAGAGCTACAAAAGGATTGAAAAGTGTTTTATATTAACAAATTAATCATAATTTTTATACATCTCACATATAGATGTCTGATACCAAATTAGACAGACCCTGAGTTATGCCGTATCATGTTCTAGTTTTACCCTGCTCATAAACATTATTAAATATTTAACACGTATATTATAGATAAACTGTACCCAGACACAGAACAAAGATCAGTCAAGATCACAAACCACAAAACCGAAAGGCCTGTTACAAGTATTCCAAAAGCCCAGAAATATATGATCCAGTTAGGGCCTGACTTACAATTTTTGTCGCTTACCTCATTTCCATACATAAAAGTCCTAACAGCGATGGCTGGAGGTTGGAGGGCCGCTGCGAGTCCGAGACAAATTACTTTCCAGAGTGTCATTTATGTAGGCGTGCTGTGTCTTTGTCATAATTAAGAGGTCTCATCTATCTTGATGATATTCCTCAATTTCCTACCATGACACCGGTGTACGAAATGGGGTTGGGTTATTTTGTATTAAAATGTTCGTTATTTTCATCTATTTTTTGGTCCCTCATTTTTATAAAAAATATTAATTATGTTTTACGAGTAATACTGAGGCAGCATTTTCCGTAACCTACATAGCTATATACCTATATATACAAATGTTTAGTTGGTTTGTGTACGTTTCAAAAACTCACAAAGTTCTACACCGATTGAGCTCAAATTGTAAGACGATAAGCTTCAAAGATTGTTATTGATGCTAATTCGAAAACTCTTTAAACTAAACTTAAAATCACTAAAAATTATTTTAGTCCTGTCCAGTACTGTGTTTTTAGAAAACGAAACGTTGTTTGGCAGTATTTTTTTTTAGTTTAGTTTAGAGAGTTTTCGAGCAATAGAATTAGCACCATTAGTTATTGCTTCTCGAACCTGTTTTGTAGCTTACTCCTCATCAATACAACCACAATGTGACACAGCGAATCGTTGCAGGATACAGCTAGTAACTGCTAAAAATATAGTAAATGTCACTCCTGGATAAAAAGAAATGGATAATGAAGAAGTAATTTACCGAGAACATGAACAATTAAAACTTATGATTTTCTAGTACTACTGTCGACTAAAAAACGACAACAAAGACACATACTATTAGGTGACTTGTCAGCTAGCTTACCTCCTATATCATCTTTATATAGTATAAAAATGTATGTTAGGTACCTTATGCATTTAATGTAGATTATAAATGTCTTCAACAGCATGTCATTAAAATGAATATCTTAGTAGATATCAGAGATTTAAAATGCGGCGGTCACCGCGTCGGGCCGTTACTTCCGTCCCGGGTGGCAGCGGCCGGCAGGAGAGCCTATAAATATTACATATGAAGATGTCCTGAAGTATAATCTGAAGAAGTGACTGCACGGATGGCGTAGTGGTTTAAGCGGTCGCCACGCCGCTTCCTACTACGTCGAGTGTTGTGGGTTCAAACCCCACATGGGACGACACTTTGTGTGATCCACAAATTGTTGTTCTGAGTCTGGGTGTTCTTTGTGTCCGTTTCATGTATGTTTGTAAAGTCACCCGCGACACAGGATATATTCCTGATGCGGGAGTTGTCTTTTTAAAAAAAAAAAAAAAAAAAAAAAGTATGTTATCATAATAATCAAATAATTCATTACTCCACACTGGCACCAAATTATTAGTAAGTATTAGTGGCATCTACATTACACCCGTGCGAAGCCGGGGCGGATCGCTAGTAAGAAATATATCTTAGAAGCAAAATGCCGCAATTAAATTAGAATTGCTATAAGATTGGATAACGCCACGGGCGCCTGAAATCTTCATCACTGGGAGGGTTTTATTGGCATTGGAAACCGCTTACCGTAGGTTAATATTGGTTGAGTGTATTTATGTTTGACCCCTTGATATATCCTAAACGGGACACGTCTAAAGCACACAACAAATTTCGTTCACACATACATATGTACGACCTAAATTCTGATACACTGTTTGGAGTCCGTGGCACAATTTGGTCTTGATGTAGAAATTGGTGTCACATAAACCATCGGTTAGTCTCAGTCCTACCATAGAGCTTAAGGAGTTCATTGACCTTGTGATCTAACACATCTATCTGCGTTTATTTACAGTGACGTACCTCTTAAATAATTCATCTTGTTCGTTGAACACCTAGCTCTGCTATGATTTTTCTTTTAACCAGTGTAGATCCTGGCATATCTATTATTTGTAAACACAGTATATATTCTTCGGTATTTTCTATATATATGTATATTGTATTTTTATAAAAAAGTATATAAGTAATCTATCAGTCAATCTAGCTTTTATGATACAAGCTCTGCTTAGTTTCAAACTAGATGGC